ATTGCGACAACGCAATTGTGTGTTCTGTCTCGGCTGCCCTGTTGTTCACGGCTGACTTGTACCGCAGGAAGCCTGTGCTGCTGCTCGTCGCTATGCTGCTGCTTGCCGTTGTTGTCATTCATATCTGCTTCCTCGATCGCGTCCCTGAGAGGAAACAGATACGGCGAACGCCGAAGAGGGCCAGGAAGATGGAGAAGCTACAAACGAAGACCACGCTGTCCGTAGGGGCTGGGGGGTCGTCACGTCAGCGTTGCAGCAGTGCGGAAGGCGGGAGGCGGCCGTATGATCCAACGGCATGAAAAGTCTGTCTTTGGTGTGGGCCGCTTGGAGGGTGGATAGTTAGGAGAAAAGTGGATCGCCGCCCGAACATTGTTGTGCTATTGAATGGATTTCCTCAAATTTATGTTTTTGTGTCGACGACGTATGTTTGCATGCTTACGATTGCTTACGCAATACTGCTTTTCTTGTCTTCTATGTGGGCTTATCATGTAATACATGCGTTAATGGCCATTGCATTCTCGTCCATATCTTCTTATGTAATTGGCCCTTCATTCGATCTTAGGAATCGCAACATCGTTATCATCGTCGACACCTGAGAAAACAAAAGAAAACAAGGAAAACAGGAAGGATTCCATCTACGCACTTTCATTGTCATTTTTTTTATGTTTGTTGCCCATCTTTCCGATCATAATGCCATCGCTAAATCGTGATGATCGTCGGCACCGAACAAAAGACAAAAAAAAAAAAAAAAACATCAAAGGAAGGTCACCGCGCAGTTGCCGAAATAACCAATCTGTCGTGAGTTTTTCTTTCATTTTTTTTTCACTGCATGTAAGTTGTTAGTTGAACAACGAAGCTTCACCGACAGACTTAAGCAAACGCAGAGAAGTGTAGACGACATGCATGACAGACGTTCCATGTAGTCGATAAAAACATGTGTCATCGAAAGAAGGATAGCAGTCGGACGCACGAAGACATCCTTACACAAACATCATAAAAAAGCACATATCGTTGAGCTTCAAGGAAAACAGCGCTCTAAAACACTTGCGAAACAGCGGTCTGACGACTGCTTCGTGCCACCCCTCACCTCCCGCCCTCCCCCCCCTTCCCCCCTCATCTGATTTCCCGTCTCAGATTCCACAGAATTCCATGGGAACACCATTTCACCGACTACAACAACAAGGAAGACTGAAAAAACAACCAGACTACCGTTGCGGCGACTACAACAACAATGAAGCCGCGTCACTGCCAATGATCGACGAACAGGACAAACAGTCTACCGTCGACTACAACAACAAACAACTAAAAACAACTCATCCGAGACGACAAACCCTCCGAAGTAATTGCTCACGTAAGCGAAAGATGCAAGCGCTGTGAATCGACGACGACGGAACACGACTTCAACGAAGAAGTCTTTTGCGAGAGAAATAGGCAGGCGGTAGGCAGGATCACATGTGTTTCATTCGCTCTGCCAGCGCATTGCGGAGCGCGTGTGCCGCGTGCGTCGAAGTCAACATCGTCACAGGCTGCAGGGAACGATGAATCCCCAGGTCCAGTCGGTGCCTCACCCCATTCTCGTTGACCTCCCACAACAAATTCTCGTCGAACTCGGTACCGGCATCGAGCAGGATGTTGTGGAGGATGCAGACAGCCGTGAACTGCTGCGGTAGAGTGTCGAGGTTCGTCTTGTGCGTCCGCAGGAAGAGCCTCCACATCCCCTCCAACCTCCCGAACGCCCTCTCCACAGCCCCTCTTGCGGCCTTCTGCTTTGATGCAAATCTTTCCTCGTCTGGGTGCTGATTGATTCCTCTGTATGGCACCACTACCCATTCAGAAGGAGGATACCTGTTGTCGCCCAAAATGTATCCGTTCGTCCTCACCCCTTCCGGCGGCGTGACAAGCAACCCACGAAACAACATTCCTTCTTCCCCGCGCCCCGACAGACTTGACAGCTAGATCACCCTAATGTCGTGGCAGCTCCCCGGATATCCAACGAACACGTCAAGCACGCGCAGATCCAGGTCCACCACCACCTGCGCAATGACGGAGAAACGGTGCTTGCGGTCGAAGTAGTTCTCGCTCGACGCGTTCGCCGGTTTGTCCACGTAGATGTGTGTGCAGTCAACTGCGCCATGGCAGTTGGGAAAGCCCTTGTTCAGAAACGCCCGTAGCACGACGTGTTTCCACAACCCCGTCGGCCACGATATCTTTTCCCCGTACACCCTCAACATAGAGGTTGTCACATCGCGCACGCCTCAAACTCCGGAAGCCCTGCCTTTGCCGAAGGATGATGTGCTATTGTCGTATGACTCTCCTGTAGCCCACCTATACAGCGCGTGTGCGACGATCTGCTCCGGCTGGAGTGGCTCCCTGTAAAACGTCACCTGTCGTTGCAAACGAGGCGCACAGGCTTCGGTGATCTCCATGAACACTCTCCTGGATCTGTGGAGCTTTTCCCGGAAGTAGTTGTCTGTCGAGTCATCGCACACCCGCAAATCCTCCCGAATCCCGCCAGCTCTCCACCTCATCCACCAACGTGGCATCGCCTGAGGAAGGACACTGCACCCGATTGCAGTGCACAGCTGAACCACGGCCTCCGAAGTGGTAATGCAGTCTGGGGCGTCCAACACCCTCTCCAGCAGAAGCCTTTGTCGCCGCTTCGAAAGCGTTGCCTTCATGCGCCCGACCGCCCTCTATACTTGGAATCGATGGACAACAGCAACCGCAGCCGCCGCGACAGCTGTCTTCTCCGTCGTGGACAACACAACACAGCCATCCCCATTGCTGCTCTCCATTACGCCCTTCAAACACGAAAAACCACCACCCAGCTGTGCGTACCTCTGCCACCACGATTGAAGACACCTGCAATCAGGTCAGAAAGACAGTCCTGCTCAACGATGTTCCACCCCGATTGGAGCGTCCGCCCACCGCCGCTGAAGTACGGAACCGCCGCGCGCCTCCACGTGGCGAGCGCAACTGCCGATACCCCTCTTCGTTTTGCCGCGTCGACCACACTTGAGACAGTGGCGGTGCGGCGCCGCTGAAGTACGCAACGCGATGGCAACCGAAACCCTGCGAGGCGTGCACTGCCCCCTCGCCGACCCGCCTGTGCGCCGCCACACCGTCGCTCCGCAAGAAGAAAATTCGAATTTCGAATTTCGAACGGGGCCGTTCTCGCGTTCACGATTTTTTTTTCCAGGGCCCGTGACGTATTGCCGCCGTCTGCCTGCTGGATCACCACGCCTCGTACACGGACATCCCGAATCGGAGGTCGGACAATCCCCTCGCGGCCGTGTATAATCTCATGAAACTGGCCGCGGGAGGGCATCGAGGATTCG